GGAAGCGCGAGTGGGTGTCCCCTCGCCGGCCGGCACCCGCGGAGGTCTGCGTCCCTCCCGCCCGGTGCGCTGCCCTTGGGCCCGTGGCACGCTGGTGCTGGGTCCCCTCCAGCTGCGCTCCGGCGGGCCAGCCCGAGGGCGCCAGCGGGCGCGGCACTCAGAGGGAAACAGCCCTCCCTGCCCAGCACGCGCCTGGGCCACAGTCAGGAGACTGACCGCCCGAGCCCGGGACAGACGCCCCTGGAGGTGTGCTGTGTGTCCAGTGCCTGCGGTCAGGCCACGTGCCGCTCTGTGGCGGCGCGGGAAAGGTGGATGCTAAGCGCAACAGGGCAGAAGGAAACGGTCTCCGGGATGTGTGGGACCGGCCGAGAAGACCGTCAGGCCGACGGGCGGGGACACATGCAGAGCCGAGGGGCGTCTCCGCGGTAGCGAGGCGGGTGCGCGCGTGGTCGGCCTCCGTGGACCGCAGGGAAGGGCCTGTGTGTGGCCGACCAATCCCTGGGTCTCCGGCATCCACGGGTCGCCGGGGCCGGCGGCCGACGGGATGTGGCCATGCACTTGACACTGGGCCCCGGGGACACAGGGACGGACTCGCGGCTGGGCGTCGGCTAACAACAGCACACGTGTGTGTCGCTGGGTTTTATTTTGTAGGTTTCTTCAGCTTTTGGCGTGGCAATTTAGCAAACGTCATCCGGTACTTTCCAACACAAGCTCTAAACTTTGCTTTTAAGGACAAATACAAGCAACTTTTCATGTCCGGAGTAAATAAAGAAAAGCAGGTGAGTGTACTTCAGTAACTCGAAGGCTTCTGCACAGGCTCACCTCCCCGTGGGGGTGTACTGGGGCGGGGGTGCCCCGGGCGCGATGCCGTGATTTAAACAGTACGACGTTGGTCCCCGAAGGCAGTGGTTGTTGACACAGTTTGCGTGGAGTTACGTGCCCACGACAGACCTCATCAAGTTAGCTTAAGCCCGAACGTACTTTTAGCGGCTGAGACCTTCCCCCTGAAGGCGGCGTGTCTTGGAATTAACACGGAGCTCACTGAGATGTGCACTTTGCGGTCCTGAGTCGAGGACGCTGGAAACGTTAGGCACTTTATCTGCTTCTATTTTTTTAAGAGATGTGTTTATGCGCACAGAGCTGGGGCGCAGGCCAGAGGGGCAGGGGGGTGAGAGGCTACGGAGACACAGAGCGGGGAGCAGGACAGGCAGACGACGAGCTGCACTGCTGAGGGCAGCGGGCGGCCAGGGGAGGGCTGCGGAGCCCTGGGGTCCCCCCCGGCAGGCGGGGGTCGGACTGCGCCGAAGCTGTGCGGCAGCCTGCGGTGCTGCGCCCCCAGGGAGGCCGCCTGCTGGTTTTATTAAGCAGTCAGCAGATACTTCGTCACCCCACTGAGAGAATTCGCTCCCCAGAGCCCCAAAAGAGCGAATTGATTTTTCTTTTCTGCGACCAGGGGTCTGTTTGCCTAAACGGGCGTGTCTGAGCAGAGCGCATCGCTCAGGGAACAGCACATTTACACTAGCGGGTCTATTGTAACGGAAGAGGCGGCTCGTCTCCCCAAGACCCTCACCCCCTTGGCTGCCAGCTCACCTGCCCGGCGTCCTGCCGTCCCCCCCCCGCAGGCCGACGCCCCCCCAGAGCTGCATCGGCCGCTTCTCTGGAAACAGCGATTTGGCGGTGTCACTGCCCTCGCACGACTCACTGGTCACTTCCAGTGGCGGCGGACGCTCCGTGTCGTCTGCAGGTCACGGAGGTGTAAGGAGACGAGGGACGTCCTGTAGACTGGACCCCGACACCTCAGGGAGAGGGGTTGCGTCACCCCACGTTCACTGTGGGCCACTAGAACTGGGGGCCAAGAGCTAGACTTGAAGTTAGGCTTCAGCCCGGCAGGGGGGCGGGATAGGGCAGAGAGCCGGCGCCCGTCGGTGTGTCAGCCCGAGGAGTCGCGTGCACGCCTGTCTCCGCAGCAGGGGGAGGCGGGCAGGGTGCGGCCAGCTGCAGGTGGACCTGGCTGGCCGCAGCGACCCAGAATCCATGTGCACCCTCCGTGGGGTGAGGCGGGGCCCCCAGACAGCTGGCGTCGGTTTCCCGGCGTCGCCCACGCCCACGTGCGGAGGCTGTGGGCAGCAGGCGGCAAGCCCAGCGCGTCTCGCGGGC